TGAGATCTTTTTTTCTCTCAGATCTCCATGAGTTAGCTAGCTAGCTAGCTTTCTCTCTCCGCACTCCTCGAGTTTGCTCGCTGGCCATATTTCTTTCTCCGCTCTCCTTGTGTTTGCTTGCTGGCTATCTTTCTCTCAGCTCTCCTTGAGTTTGCTAGCCCGCTCAGGGACGTGTCTTGTCTGCCTCCGCTCCTTGTGGCTGATTCACCGGAGCAGAGGATAAATTAATTGCCCTCTTCACAACTTTGTTTACGTCTGGAATCTCCCATAAAGTTTTTCGACCTCAGGCTTCATGTCCCCTTAATTAAGCCCCCTTCGTTAGCTGGGTCGACACTTCGCTCCCATCAAAATACCACACACTCTTCCACACAAGCTAATCTCACGCTAATTGTCCCAGTAGTTTTGACAGAGTTGCAAAGTTATTCATTTAGTATTGGTAGAGTTTTCAATCTTGCATGTACTGTATCTGTGGTACATATCACTGCTCAGAAATACTTGTATTCAGACTGTGTGGGTTTGGATCTCATAGAAAAAACTATTTTTCTTGACTTGATCAAGTTACAACATGTCATAAACAGACCTGGAGTTGTTTTTAGTCCCATCCACGCTAATATCAGGAAATTCTGAGGCACATAGCTCTGCCCCTTCTGTCTAAAAGCTCCTGTCTCAGTCCTGTAATAGTATGATGTCATTGTACCTCTATGACATCACACTCACAGTTCTTTGTCTTTAAAACAAACGTAGAGAAGCTAGAGATAGACCAGAGAGATTTAAGAGAGCAGTCCCTTCGCAAATTATTATCAATGAAGGGAACCCAAATGCAGAGGACGGGTTAACAGGATGTATTGACAGGAATGAAGGTTGAGCTGGTAGGGTGGGCCGGAACTGAAACAGGAGTGCAAGCAATGTGTAGTTATACTGTATGTTAGCATCTGTAAATTAGCAGCAGTAAATTAGCAGCAGTATATTTACATCTGTACTTTAGCAGCAGTATGTTTACATCTGTACATTAGCAGCATGAGGCTCTGGGACACAGTGACTCAGTAAAGTGACAGTGACATGTGGTTATAGCACATTCTTAAGGATATTGCAACGATGCATGACACGTGGGATCAAGTTGGAAGTGTTCATTGTTTGTTGTACAGTCTGACAGCAGCAGGAAAGAAAGACCTGCGGAACCTCTCCTTCACACATTGAGGATGAATAAGTCTGTCACTGAAGCTGCTCTCCAGAGCAGACAGAGTGTCCTGCAGGGGTTGACAGTAGATGTTAGTTTGTCCAGGACCCTCCTGTCCTCCATCTGCTGCACTGTGTCCAGGGAACAGCCCAGGACAGAGCTGGACTTCCTGTCCCTCTCTGTGATGCTGCCGCTCCAGAAGGTCTTTAGGAGTGGCCCCTGCACCCCAAAAGACCTGAGCCTTCTCAGCAGGTAGTCGGCTCTGGCCCTTCTTGAAGAGGGCTTTTGTGTTACGAGTCCAGTCTAGTTTGTGGTTCAGATGAACACCCCGTACTTGTAAGAGTCCACTCTCTCAATGTCCCTTCCCTGCGTGTTCACTGCGGCTGGCGCGGTAGAATGACGTCTGCGGAAATCCACCACCATCTCCTTGGTCTTCCCCGCGTTGATGAGGACGCTGTTCTGCTGACACTAGTCCACAATGTCTTGTATACAGTAATTCCTCTGTACTCTGTGTCATCATCCTCGGAGCGGAGTCCTATGATGGCAGAGTCGTCAGAACTTCTGTAAAAAAAAAAAAGAGAACTTCTGTAGGACACAACCGTCCGTGTTGTGTCTTAAGTCCGCAATGTAGAGGGTGAAGAGGAACGGCGCAAGGACTGTCCCCTGGTGGACTCCACACTGCAGGTCATGACCTCAGACACAAAGTCCCTGGTTCACACAAACTGGGGTCTGTCAGTGAGGTAGTCCAGGATCCACTCAGACAGGTCGTAGTCCACTCCTGCCGTCTCCATTTTGTCCCTGAGAAGCTATGACTGGATGGTGTTGAAGGCGCTGGAGAAGTCAAAGAACAGAATCGTCACAGCGGACCCGGGTTTCTCTAGGTGGGACAGCGAGCGATGGAGGAGGGAGATGATAGCGTCCTCAACTCCAATGCAAAACTGCATCGGGTTCATCGCTGAGGTCAGAGTGGAGCGGAGATGTCCCAGGATCAGCCTCACCAGAGTCTTCATGCAGTGCGATATCAAAGCCACCGGCCTGAAGTCTCTGAGGTCTTTGGCCCGTGGTATCTTTGACCCATGGTGTCTTGGGCACTGGTACTACACAAGAGGTCTTCCAGAGCTGTGGTACCAACCTCAGCCTGAGGCTCCGGTTGAAGACATGCTCCATCACTCCACAGAGTTCATCTGCGTAGGAGCGAAGGAGCCTGGAGCTGATGTTGTGTGGTCCGAAGGCCTTCCCTGGCTTGATTTCAAGCAGTTCCATTCTGACCTGTGCGGCAGTGAATGACAGGGGTGGAGGTGGAGGTTTGGGCTGCGAGCTGCTGGTGGGAGAGAGCTGAGAGGCGTGGGCCATGGTGTGAACGACCGTGTCTGGGGGGCATTGTTCTCCAACAGGGGTGGGCAGCAGCAGAGCAGGGGGTGGGGTGGGTTGTGTCCTTTCAAAGCAATCTTGGAGGGTCTCAACAGTGTCTGTATTCCATGTTCGTATCAAGTGCCTCACCACGGGTTGCCTGTGCACCAGTGGTTTGTACACAGGCCGGAGATGAATTATCTTGTGATCTGCTCTGCCTAGCGGGGGGAGGGCCGCCGATGTGTATGCATCCTTGGCATTGCTGTAGAACAGATCCAGTATTTTGTCTCCTCTAGTGGGACAGGAGACGTATTGTGTGAACAGTGGCAGTATAGAAGCCGGGGACGCGTGGTTAAAATCCCCAGTAATGATAAATAAGGCCTGAGGGTGCTGCGTCCGCAGGTCACTGACAGTGGAGAGCAGAGCATCGTATGCACTGTCTGCTATTGCAAATGGAGGGATGTAGACTGCTATAACAATAAACTGCCCAAACTCCCACGGCAGATAGTATGGCCGCACACCAATGGCAAGAAGTTCAATGTCTTTCTCACACACCTGGCGTTTCACAGTGCAGTGTTCCGGCTTGCCGTAGCTTTTGGGTCTGGATCTCTTTCGCCCTTGTACCTTCCATCCCGTGCGGCAGCCTCTGGGTGTTTTCCGTAGAATCTCCGCAGGAATTGTGTATTTGTCCCTGGGAGGGAACTCTGCTCTCCGCAGCGCCAGCAGCTGATCCTGGGTGTAAACAACAGGAGCACGTGGGCACATCTCCGTTTACAGGTATAATCCACGTTTATGATGAGGAAAACGGTGGAAAAACACGGCGTGTCTCACCTCCTTAGTGAGCACTAGCTTCATGCGACATAGACGAGTCCTTCTCAAATAGTGGGGCACTCCCCGGAGTAACTGCGGCCGCTTTGTAATGACAGCAGTTCCTGCCTCAAGTGGCAAACGCGCAGCTGTAACATGGTGATTTTGTTCCCAGTGCGGACCATAAACGCGCGCGCAGGACAATCCTCTGCGTCTTACTTTTAAAACAAAAGTGTTGTACATAAATTAGTTTTGGTAATTTCTTAGGTAAACTAAACATGAACTGATAAAGTAAACAGTCTCATAATGATTGTCAATGGCCAAAATAAAAATGCGTATTATTTCTTTATTGCAAAAATTATAAAAATCTTAACAGAAATCGTATGTGAACTTTAGCTACAAAGGCCCCTTGTGGTTTTCTCTGGCTGTTTCATCGAGATCTTGCATCATGTAATTTCCCACTTCCCACCAAAAATAGAAAAACCAGTGACTTGGATCTCAACATATAGTTGCAATTGTTATAAATTGTAAAAAATTACGTACACCAGCTTTAAAGTAAACAGTGAAGCGGTAGCGATTAACCCTTAGGCCTAGCGTACATCGGACTGGCAACTGATTATAGCGGTCGCATATGAGTTGTTGCCCTGCACACAGTGACAATCTGATGAAAACGGGCAGCTCCCAGTAGCAGACCAGTATCGGGAATAACAGCGCGTACATCGACAGCAACTGGCCGTCAACTACAGTGTGTTTTCTGACATAAACTGTTGCGGGCTCGCAATACACGCAATACACACACGTTGTCGGAGCGGCGCATGGAGCGCGCACATCGGGTCATATCTCCGAAACTGAGGACAACTAGTTGCCGAAAAGTAGAACACGGGCAACTGACTGAAACTGGAGACCGACTGATCAGCTCCAGTTGTAAGAGCGCGCACATCGACCGATTTCGGCAACTGATCATCTCCCACCATCTCCTCTCAGTTTCCAAAAGCCGCCTTGCAACTAGTTGTCCCCAGTTTCTCTGTCGATGTACGCTAGGCTTTAGACGTATTAACGTATTAAGTCACGCCTATCTCCGCCGTTCTAACTAATGGGCCAAAAATTGGGCTTTCATGGAGTGATTAAAAATGGCCGCACTGGCTGGAAAATGTGAAAAAACGCATCTGCGCATGCGTCAGTCGGCACAAGCCCCATTAATTTAATGTGTGACTTCAAAAATTCACAGAGAGTAAACTAGACTGGTCCAAAAAGATTCACTCCCCTCAGCATTGACACACATGTGGAACGGGGCTTTGGGCCAAGAGCCAACTTTTGGACCATCCTGTAAAGGTGTTTTCGAGAGGTCAGGTAATGCTATATGTTAGCATTGGCTAATTCTTACTCCGGGTCCACCCCCATCGGCCCGGGGGGGTATTGCAAGCATGTCAGCGCACATCATTTTGGCCACTTTTGAGCCAGGGCCCACCCCCACTGGATTAAACCTACCATATGAAGTTGCCTTGTACCTAGTTATATAGTAATTATCAGGTCCCCGTTTTCTGCACCCATCTCTCCAGACTGGCTCTAAAACAGTTACTGTTTCTGTTACTAGTTTTATGCATTTTTATACTCTCACATGTTCAGAGAGACCACAGTGAGAGACCACAGTGAAGTGAGAGACCACAGTGAGAGACCACAGAGAGAGACCACAGAGAGAGACCACAGAGAGAGAGACCACAGAGAGAGAGACCACAGAGAGAGACCAGAGAGAGAGACCACAGAGAGAGAGACCGCAGAGAGCGACTAAACTTATATGAAGTTGCCTTATACCTAGTTATCTAGTCATTATCAGGTCCCGTTTTCTGCACCCATCTCTCCAGACTGTGTAATTGCATTTATTGATCACAAGGGG